AAGATTTGGTGCTGGATGGTGTGGTGGTGTTGAACTAGTTTGTGTATGGTGTCGTGGCCCAATTGGATGGCGTGGTGCTTGTGGACAGTGTTGTGGCCCAAGTGGATGGTGTGGTGCTTGTGTACAACGTCGTGACCCAAGTGCATGGAGTGGTGCTTGTGCTCAGCGGTCGTGGCCTTTGTGAACCGTGTGGTGCTTGTGTATGACGTTGTCGCCCAATTGGACGTTGTGGTGCTTGTGTACAACATCATGGCCCAATTAGACGGTGTGTTGCTAGTGCGCAGTGTCGTGGCCCAAGTGGATGGTGTGAACGCTTGTGTACGGTGTCCTGGCCCATCAGGACGGTGTAGTGCTTGTGGTTAGGTCAGGTTAAAACATTCCATTTATATGTCGAGAGCTGATCACACATTGGCAGATGACGGTATGCGTCAGTTTACATCAAGAATATACACCGCTGCAAAAATTTTTAACCCGAATTTGCCGAAGTACATCGACGAAACTTCCACAAGTTTGTAAATCGGCTACAAATTATAATCTACATCCTCTTTTTTCAAGATGTAGAAGTTTTGTTTTCCTTCTATCAGGCAACTCTGTGCAACTTGCCATTTAAGGAGCTTCTTCTTCAAGCGCGATTTCCTTTGTTCTACTCTAAACAATTTGATCTGATTAAATGTCCTTCTTGTCGCTTTCAATGAAAACTCAAGTGGGCAAGGCAATTCTTTCTTTTTTTTCTGGACGTTGAAGAAAAAAATCGTCAAGAATGGAAGCCGAATTTCAGAGAGGAGCGGAAAGGAGGTTGCGTGACGAGTTAAGGTGAACAATTCACGCACCCCAAATCGTCACTCTCCGATTAAATTCTCGATCGGAGCTAAGTATTAAACGTACCTTTAGCATCAGAAATTTAAGTGAAGAAAGAGAGCATACTAAAACTGACATTGTAGTTGGAAGGATCAATCATTCTGGACCATTTTTGCGGGAACTGTACCTCTACAGTGTACATACAGTCTGTCGCTGTGCAGCTGAAGTAGGAACAGCTCTGAAAATGAACAAAGAATTACCCTATTTGTTTCTAATTTTGGGTCCTCTTTTCGTCCCCCCCCCCCCCTGGAAAATGCCTTCTCAGAGATAAAATTATCGCTAAAAGATTAATAAACCAATTATTCTATTTTAGCAGCAGAATGGTAAGCCTGTAGCTGATTCAAGATGATAATCAGTTTGTTCAGGGACACTAAAGTTTATAATACGCCGTCTATCATTTCTTGGCTGGTGAAAATACTATAACTTTGGCTTGACTGAGTCAATTAATCGCACGTTAAGTAAGAAAACAAAGATAGAATATCTCAGAAGAAAACACAACTTTTCCAAAGTTGTCATGGTCTCTGATATTTCTTCCGCGCCTTTACTTATAACGAAAATGGACAGGGAGACGGATCCAGAGAGCACTGCCCGCCTAGACCCATATGGATTGTGCTAGTAAAAGTAGCGTACCATGCTGCACTACTTTTCTTTAAAATATGCTTTCAAAAAAGAAACAATATAAAGTCCAAATTAAATATTTATCGTTTATAAAGCTAAATATGTGCTTTTATTTTTAAATACTGTTAGCTGCTGCACTTTACTCCAGACTAGTAACGATGACTTAACGTGTCAAATGTACGATGTAAGTATCGCGTTTCTCTGACGCCATTTTGTTGCTTGTGAAGGTAGGAACTGGGACCGAATTAGTCTTTACATCCGGTGTGCCTAGTCCTCTAGACGACGAACGCTAGACATTGCAAAACTGAAAATAGACTGAATCATAGACCGAACTTGAAAATAATCAATCTTAGTGACCAAACAAGTCATAACTCTGGTTATATTCTCTTTAAAAAAAACTAAAAATGCACTGATTATGCTAACAGTTTTAGTTCAGTTTTAGTTCAGTTTTAGACCATATATTCCTCCTGGGCATTCCCTCGATCCTCAGTTTGTTTTTTTCCTTTCATTTACTTACTTATTTTATTTCGCATACTCTATACATGTCTACTTAAATATCGCCAGGAAAACTGCCGTTAGACAAAGGCACTTTACACAAAGGAAAACATTCTAATGGCTGAGAGAACGAGGCGTTGTTAACAGCCTTTAATTGACTTCAAAGCCACCTGCAACGCTTAGGGTTTACGAGTTTCCTTTCTATTGTATGCAGTTGGTTTGATTCCATAGTGAACTTTTTATCCAACAGAAAACTTCACAAATACCATTGACACTTCGTGTTGTCGTGGCAATTAAAACAATGGTATTTTTTTTCTTCACGGTGATCATTTTAAGTAAATTTTAGAGTTTCAAAAAATACCATGTAAACTTGGACCTTGAAGAATTTTTTGTCTTTTTTCTGTCGTTGAAGGTTTTTACCTGATTAGGTTTATTTTCTTCTTTAATAACAAACAAAATCAAAATATTTTCGCCGTAGATGAGTGTTTGTTTGCTCTTAAATTTCGAAGAAGAACAATAAATTAAAAAAACAAAACAAAACAAAAAAGAAGAAAACAAAAGAACTAGACAATAGTACCTGTTAATGCAAAAATTCATCATACCTATTGGTGGTAAACAATGGTTACCTAAAACCAACTGCAGCCTTTTGGACACTTATCGAAATTATGTAAAAATTCAATGAAGTGAATTCACCCTTTATAGCTCGTGTATTACTAGTAATACATGTTTGATTTTTGTTTTGAGAAGGTGTTTCTTATTTCCCATCTCTCGCTCTTGTTAGCGAATACTTGTTGTTCTCTTAAAGGTCATAATATATTCAATTGCCGTTTATTTTATATTTAATTTGTGCAAATATATGTTGCAACCTGTGAATTTAGAAAATTCCGTAATCTAATCGATGAGAGAACGGTTTTTTTTCTTCTCAGAGCGGAAGTCTTCACTGAAACCAAACGTTGTAATGTAATATGAAAAAAATAAATTGGAAAAGTCAAATTATTCTAGAACCTTTCAAGATCTCACTGCAACCCTTTGTAGAAAACAAAAACCACCCTTGTGCGCTGAATTTGAGTTTTCGCAACTACAAATAAAAACGTTTTGAATAGAACTGTTTACAGCGCTAATCGAGAGATATTAAATCAGGTTATGGGACTGTTATATCAGCAAGATCTTCAGGAAGTTTGCAACAATCTTTATGTACATTTTTCACCATCTTCCTTCGTAAAAGTATTGACTTCTTGGGTCAACAATAACATATGGGGTATCGTGTGGCCCGAGTGAAAATTCATTTTCGGTTGGAAGCCCTTCTGGAGGAAGGCAGCAGCCACATCTAACAGGAGGGAGGTAAGGAAGTATTTGCATCACTTCCCTCTCGCCAGGGATGTGACTTTGCAAAAAGTGGCGCTGACTTTGAAATGGTGTTGATTGAAACGTCATGGAATGGCAACCTCTCGACAACGGCACTCGATGTTCTCGGAAACTTAACTCATCCGTAAATCTCCGATGGTGAATCTTCTCTTGACCACTTATGTTTCTGCTTGCCTTACAGTTATCCTTGTGCAAATATGACGAGGATCTCAACTGTACATGCGAAGGGAGGTCTTCAAAATTTTCCTCTTTGCTAGGAGTGCTTTCTGGTCGCGAAGCGGGAAGACAACTTTGGTCTTCGTATTCAGTTTCTTCCTTCTTAACAGGGACTTCACCACTTTTAAAATCTTCATTTCCATCGAAATGTTCAGGATTTTTCCCCAGCTGATCGTTCTCTTGCGGCGCCGCAGAGGACTCGTGGCAAACACACGGTCCGAACGAACAGGACGCTTGGTTGAGGCTCAGGTTGTGTTTCAAGTACTTTTTCTTGGGCCGTCTCTTCGGTCTGTACTTGTAATCAGGATGTTCTATCATGTGGAGCTCGCTCAATAGTTTGGCTTGTGCGAAAAACTTTTGTTTTTCCTCCTCGGTGAGTTTTCTCCACTCCGAGCCAAGAATCTTGCTGATTTGCGAGTTATGAAGTTTAGGATTTTCACGCGCTAATTCTCGGCGTTTGCGACTGGACCATATCATGAAAGCGTTCATTGGCCGTTTTATGTGATTTTCAAGGCTGGACATCTTATCCTTCGATGGCTTCTCTCCAGGAAGATTTCTACGCTTAGTCACCTTTCTCCACCGCTGAAGTTAGAGTAAATGATGCTACCTCTCACTTCACTAGCTTTTGAACGCCTCAAAAACTTCCGTGAAATTGCGTTTCACAGTGGGACATCAATTTCTCAAACAAATTCACTTCAATTAGCTTCGACGCAACATAAGCGTCCTGCCTTGCTAGTGCTAGATAGCTTCTCATAAACGACCTTGATAATACCGGTTGACAGAGTCTTGCGTCTTGCTTTTATGCTGAGACACAAAACAAAAGGCTCTTTTGTGTTTAATTAATGTTTAATGTGAGCTCAAGTGGCGAGAGCGTGTGTCACAAATTGTTCATTTCATGTCGTCTTCTTTCAGTTCTTTATACTTTCCGGCGAGAGCTTCGACGGCTTTCAATTTAAATTGACGATTCTCTTTAAATAGCTAAACTATGTGACCTGAAATAGCTTTAAAATCGTTCGTTACTTTCACCTGGAAGGTTGCATTTTCTGGCTATATTCTCTCACAAAATTCATGGTTGAATAATTAATAAAGCCTACTTTCGAAACAATAGCGCTCATTTATGCGGTCGCGGTGAAAGTTTTCTTTAGATCCCTGCATAAAACAAATGAAGTTGTTGTTATGGATGAACACGGGCCATTTTTTTGCGTTTTTGATTCAACCATTAATTTTTGCTTTCACTTCGGTATGAATTGTTTTTATTTGCAATATCAAAATAAACAGAAGTCAGATTTGTTATAATATTTTAAACAACAAGCATGCATTCGACATGTCTGCTTTACAACAACAATAGAACTCATCAAAGGCAAGGATGTTTCGGTTTGATAAATTATTCATGTTGTGCGTTTAGTTCATGGCCGTGTTTCTCAGAAAGACAAACTTTTACATGACAATGGAAGATAAAGGAGTCTAAAACCATTGAAAAGAAAAGAGACTTAAAAACAGCTCGTGGTTTTAAGACACGAGAGTTTTCTGTTCGTCTCCCACAAATTCCTATAAGATGGTTGGTTATCGGTGTATTGCATTAAGCGTTTATCTCCAGAAGTTTGGTCTTGTTTGCCAAACGCTCCGCATAAACAAATTTTCTGACAAGCAGGTGCTGCAGTCGGTGAAGGCTTGTAAAACAGTTTCTTTAATTTGCAGTAATTAACTATAAAGACTATCTGAGAAGTTGTTGATGCCTGACATTAACTTGCACAATCTTTGTGAGCAGTAGAACTTCAACACACCCGCAATGTTTGCACGGAAATATAAAATTAAAACTTTTCGACAACGTTGTTTGTTTATTTGACACGATGTTGTGTTATTTGACTCAGCAAAGTATATTTGGAGCCAGGAGAAAATTCATTTCATCGAATGATATTTGTAATGCTACATCACAGATGAAATATTGGAATCGTAACCGACTCTTCTTTGGAGCCGGAATTGTTCACCAGACAAGATTGTCCGATGTTCTTACAAAATGATCAATTCTTGCTTTTATGGTCAAAATTGTGATAAAAAATTAACCATTCAAATAACAGTTATTGAGCGGTTCTTTCACGTGGTGTTCTGTATTATATTGAAAAAGTTGGGTCATACTTTCAATCCTAAGAATGAAATTTTGTAAGTGTCACCATTGAAACGAAAGGTATTAACTAACATACATGGCGCGCCTCTGTTTTCAATTATTTCAATTTCCAAGTGTGAAATTTAAGAAGATTTGTCAAATGTATATTCTATAGCTCTTTAGGTGGCAAAGCCTGCTAATTATGAAAAAATAAAGAGAGCAAAATCTAGAGTAAAAAATTCAATAAAAGCCTGAGTTAAAATAACAAATGTTTTAAGGTATTAAGCGAAGGATACAATATACTCGGCAAAATGTTTTAAATCTGCAATTTTTCCTAGTTTTCAAATGAGAAATCTAAGAAAATCATTGTTAAAGTTTGTATTCTATGGCTCTCCGGGTGGTAAACGCATGTTATAGCAGTTAAAGGTTTTATGTCAAAAGTTAAATAAATATCTAACTTATTAAATCGTAAACAAGTTAAGAAGATTTCATAATTTGCTGTGGAGTCTGAAAACCAGTCAAATTTACAGAAACTTGTCAACTAAACGTTGACTGGTCTTTCCATTAAATGAAAAGCCCTTTATTTCTTCGCTTCATTCAGAAACTTCACACACATCTTTTATAAAAGCGCTTTTCAAAAGCCCTTTCTCTATTCAGTTGGACACCAGAAGGTAAATAAAAGAAAAAGGGCTTGATGCGCAATAATTGATTGAGGGTTTTTGTTACGAAATAAATGGCTATTTTGGAACCGTCGTTTGAAATGTTAATTTCGATACATTGTTGCCAAACGGCGGGTGTACGATGAAATTATCAGCTCCCTAGTTCACGCCGAACTTCATCAGCCAAAAATAAGCTGGTTAAGACATAAAATGAAAAGAGAAGACGCAATACTCAGTGAAAGATTGACAAATGTAACAAAGATTCCTGGAGATTTTTGCACCATGAGTGCAAACCGAAGCACAATAATGAACATGTGTACGATGTCCGGTTTTGTAATCAGAGTCAGCTTAACCATATGCTGCCTCATAATCAGCGAGATAATTTGTTTCTTTTTAGCTTTGGTCTTTCAAAGGAGCAAAACACACTCATGCAACATATGATTCAGGTTTTGTCTTTTTCAATGGCTCACAATTTCTAAAGTCATAAATAGTATCTATAGAAAGAGTTGTTTTTTTTTTACTCCTTTATCTCCCATAAATCATAAACAAGTAACTTGATTTCCTGAGCAAGTGATCGCAGTAAAAAAACTTTACCATTACATGTTCGTAAGTCTCTTTTATTCCTTCTGGAACGAGAGAAAGAGAGAAAAAGAGCGTCAAGAAGACACCCTGGGAACGAAGTTGGTGCTGCCGTGATGTAACACCAAATTCTCCTACATCATATTCGAGGAAAACGTGTAACATTTGGAAGGGAGAATTGTTTTTATCAGTCAGATCATAAGAAAGGTTTTGTAAGTAGGTAATATCTGGAATAAAAAGTAGGCACGGTAACTTGGTTAAAAAAGGGAAAAAACTTCAAAAGAAGCGCAAACAATTTGGTCGAAAAATACATGGATTCATGATCAAATCATTTACTCTAAAAGACGTTCTGGAATTAACCCATGAATGACCAAGACAGAATTTCTCCTTACAATATCAATACAATATCAATCAGACAAGTGATGAGAATAAAGAAAAAATATCAATTTAGGGTTGATCAGTTGATCCAATATTAGATTCTCTGAACTAACATTGTAAGAATTGTGTGGTTGACAGTAAGGAGAATTATTACAAATTTGATCTTTATATCATACATCATAGGCCGCTGACATTCATTAGGCCGCTATTCGCTGGCTGACTTGACGGAAATATGACTTTTCGTGGCAAATAAGGTTTTAAAATGAAATCTATTTTAAAAGGGGTTGACGCTCGGAAATTAAAGGCTTGTCCCCAAGACTACAATCCTCTTGGGTTGTATGGTTGCGATTGCTACAATTATTATATTCGAGTTTGCGCAAAAAGTCATTGCCTATGTTGTTTTGCAATTTTTTTTTATCAACCAATCAGATGCTAACTGATAATAATAATAACAATAATAATAATAATAATAATAATAATAATAAAGATAATAACTATAAGGACTTTATTAACTGGATATAACACTAAACAGTTTCAAATTTATAAACTTGCGGCCGTCAAATTCAAACAAACTAGAACTGATCAACATTGTATTTAACATAAACAGAGTATTTTAAGAACCCCAACTGGTAGGAAGCAGCCTGGTTGGCTTTGAACTATAAACGTCGCTAAGGTGTTGAATTCTGGGTGACCAAAAAAAAATCCAATGGGTGGCAGGGTGAAGGGCTTTGAACCCAGACCTCCAGATGACAATAACTTTTAGGATTGGTAAATTTCCTCGGAAAAAGCTTACTCCATTCGCGCTCGTTGGATATGTCATGGCAAATAGCTTAAGCATAATACCTGGTCAAAGCATGAAGCATAATACAGGCATAATGAGTAAACTTCTTAAAAATTCCTTTGATGTTACACCTTAACAACAAATAAACTTTGTAGCCGGCGCGATGTCAAAAACGACCGGAAGTAAATGCAACTTTTGATTGCAAAACGACAAATAATCACGTGACTTGCGCAGCGTTTCACAAATAAAGCTGAATGAGAGTTTTGCACGAAGCAACTCAGAAACCCGAAATATTTCCACCGAATACCTTAGTTTCAAATCCAAGAAACGTAAATGGGTATGAGGGACAGACTTTTTCGAGGATGCCTACAAGTGCTTTTGAGTTCCAACGCATTGACAAGTACAATAGTTGTACATATTTTAGAAGCGTCTTGCTGTCTGAAGCGGAGTTAGTGACGTAGGCAGTGTCATCTTTCATTTTGATATGCTGAAACTGTTCTAGAGGATTTACATGTAAAACAATTAATGCGACCAGTATCACGATTAAGTTTTGACTTAAAAATTAAGCTCGAGTTATTCAATGACGTTTTGAACACCTACCAGGTTCATGATTTGCTGTGTAAAGATGAACGAAGGAAAACCCATTGTGGTCGTTTGTGCGAACTTCTGAAAGAACT